TAAGTTTAAGGCGTTTTCGGCTCTAACTCCCAACCTACGCGCGTTATTTACATCCTGTCTATTGTCACAGGTCGTATTTGTCATGGGGAAGCTGTCCGTGACAGCCACACAGTGGTTCGGGGGGGCTGTTTTGAATTTTTGCCCCCCGAACACCCTTTTTCGACCAAGTTTAAGGCATTTTCGAACTCCTAATCTACGGGTCCGAATTACATTCCGTCTATTGTCACAGGTCGTATTTGTCATGGGGAAGCAATCTGTGACAGCCATTTCGTCTTTTTTTACATAATTAATTAATTAGTTAACGAATTAATGTGTTATTTCGTTTCTCCTCTTATTTGTATAATGTCAAAACAATTCCAAGTTCTCCAAAACAATAATGTCAATATGTGAAGTATTTTTGTAGAACTTTTAGTATCATATAAATAAAATTCCTCTTACCAAATAGGGCAATTGCCATCTGAACCCTGCAGTAGAGTTGTGAGTCGCAAAACCACGTAGAGGACAAAGGTGAGAAGCTACCATTTAATACTACAAAAATAAAAATAAAAAAGAGTATGCCTAGTTTAGTCCCTATTGGATGGAGGTCTCGAATAATTTTGTTTATCTAGCTTTCTCAAATTATATTTAACTCTTTGTATCGCCTTGATGCTTTTTTAATAAACTTTGATTATTTATCCCAAAAAGAAAAAACATTATATTTAACTCTTTACTTCCAAACAAAAATTCTTCTAATGATACTGATTTTAATATGTGCAGATCAAGGATAAAACTGGTGAGCAAATAGGTGAAACTGAAGGTATGATGTGTGATTAAAAAGAAGTTTTTCTTAATGTTAGATGGCATTTATGAAAATTTGCTTCTGATCTGTTACTGCTGCATGCTGTTTCAATGGTGATTTTATTTTGATGGGAAAACATGACAACCATCTGAACAGTATGATAGCTGACCTGGAATTACCATGAAGAAAAAATTATCTGAATTGATAGTGTTTTCCTGTTTCAAGCTAATAAACTACCATAACTACATTTAATCCCAAACAATTGCCCTATTTTGAGTAGTAGTCCCCCCATTCACAAATATAAATAAAAATCTTATGAAAAAGGAAAGTTGTTCTAACTTATTGAACTTAACTTACAGGGAAGTGTAGTGTTAAGAGCTATATAATTTCAAAAAATGTGGTATGGACATATCATTTCATGATCCTTTTGGCTATTATAGAGTTTCAGTGTTTCATTTGTCTTTGGAATTTTAGAATGATGCAGTGAAGAACCTAGTGACTAAGTTACACTCTGCTAAAGCTAAGCTTGATTTGGTGACACAAACAAAATGCAAATTTGTTTTGGAGAATAGAAAGGTTCATATATTAAATTTTGATTTCTATAGCTTGAGTGGATGTACATAGATACTAAGGGTAGAGTGTTTTTTAATTTTATTTTTTTATGTCATTGTTATTACTGTTTATATTTTTACTAGCCTTTAAGTGTTTTGAATTGCCTAAAGAGTTAATGTTGTTGTTTAGAGAGAACTTCACAAACCCAAGTCTGATCGTTCTTGCATACATTTGGAGTTCAATGTATTTTTTCCTTTTATTTTTTGGTTGTGTTTGTTGTTTGATTTTGGTTTAGAAATAATCATGCAATGTTTGCCTAAACTTAGTCAATATGTTGAAATAGCTTGATAAATTTTATCCATATTATTGCTATTTTTCAGCTTTATTACAAGTCAATTTGAGTGTAACTTATTTAACTACTAAACTGGGTGTATCAATTTGAGTGTAAAGTCCATGTTTTTCTGTGGTAGAATCATAGGGGGAATTGTAGTATCAAAAATCAAGTGCATAGTAATTTTTTAAAATTTTATATAATTCTGTTTATGATGACATGATAAATATATGAATATTTCCACAAATTTGCGTGATTTATCATGAAGATGACTTCCAAAATGTTGGAAAGTAGACTAATAAGTTCAAAGAGTGACAAAGATACAAAGTACCCACCTTTCCCATCAAAGAATAACAAACAGCCCCAAAATATGGAAACTCGTCAACTAGTGGTTTGAAAATTAATCTGAAAACTCCTGTGAATCCAATATTTTGACCTAGATGAACATTCTTTACTTTATATCATGTTATCAAATTTTTTAGTCACCTATTATTCTTCAGAGAGAGTGAAAGAGAACACATTGATTATCAATAAAATAAGTATTAGAAGTACTATATACACAAAAAATAAATAAATAAATAAAAAGTGAAAATAAAATAAATTTCAGAGTAGTTTTGTAATGGTTTTGCTACTAGGACATTTTGACCTTCCAATGGGGTCCTTCTGGACATTTTGATTGTTTAAGTTGATGTCAATACCTCTAGATGATGGGAGTTTGGCTGGCTAGTTATTGGTTTCTCACTTGGGTAGGGTATCCCAGGAAGCATCATAAAGAACAATTTATGGATATAGGCATTGATCATGGCTTGCTGTAGACACCCCATTTTTGACCGACCTTAAGACTCAGACGTCACCGATGGAGCGCTCGGTGATGTTGCATAATGTGCTTGTTCAGAAGTTTCAGAGTCGCGGCCGTGAGCCCTACCTCCGGACTTCCGAACCCTCTTCTGTGCCTTGAATTTATGGATATAGGCATTGATCATGGCTTGCAACTTTCAATTGGTAGCACATTTTTCTTTTTTCCACTTCTCTGTTCTTTTTTTTTTTTTCTTTTTAATTTTTAGCAAAATATCATGTGTTAATGACTCAACTAACCAACCCTTATTGGATCATTGAGTGCATATACTTATTGCACATTGTTTTGTTGTTATGGGGTGATCACGACATGTGTTCAATGTTAAGTACTCTGACTGAAGATTTTTGTTTAATTCTTCAGAAACCACAGTTCAAGATGAACAATAGAGTGTTGGATAGGACATTTTTTTTTTAGCAACACATGTAGGTTTCTAGAGCTGTTATTTTCCTCTGGGGTTTCTCATAGCTGGGTTACAAGTGCATTAAGTATGCAGGGTGTGCAATGAGCATACAAACTATTAGGGGGTCTAATCGTGTTTTTATTTCAATGTCTGTTCATATTTGTGTTCGCTTGCATGCATTTGTTTTGACCTTTTTGCCACTTTGAGCTTAATTTAAAACATGAGAATATTTAGATTTAAATGAAAAGGGTAGCACTAGGTAAAAACAATGGATTGATTAGTTTGTATCAAACATGTTCTGTGATTAACTCTGGTTCTTGTTGGCATTAATGCTAGTGATGCATGGTATTCCTGCAATCTTTTGACATCTTCTGTTATCCGTGTTGCTTATCCCGTGCTGTTTTTTTGGTAGAGAAACAGCTCAGACTGGTGGGACTCTAGGTATCTGAGCAACTTACTGAAAATTGATTTCTTTTGATATATCTGTCCATATTTCCTTTCAATGCAAGCTTCCATTAATATTGCTGCAAATTTCAGGAACACAAAACAATATGGGACTGGAGTTGTTGATGAATGTGTTTGGTGTGGACTCGGAGCTGGTGGCTTAAATCTTCCAAATACACCTGATGGTAAGAACTTCATCGCATTTCTATGTAAAGTTTTCTGATAAGCTTGCCTTTTAGCCCTTTACTGAAAGCAAATATGTCTTTGTTTTTCATAGTGCCTCCAGAAGAGCTTTATGCTACTCAACTGTCACAACTTCAAGAAATGGGTTTCTTTGATACCCAAGAGAATATTAGGGCACTACGTGCCACCTCAAGAAATGTTCATGCTACTGTGGAGCGACTTTTAGGGAACCCTAGCACGTAGTCAGTACACCTATTTTGAAATTTAATCAAAGATTCAGTTGGTCATGTAAAAGTTATCGATTTGGACTAGTGTCTCATAAAAGACAAGATGTGTTGGCACTTTCAATTCCATTTTGGGCTGTGTGAATAAGAAAGTACACACTTCCATGGTAAGAGGTGAACTTGGTGGACAAAGGCTTTTTCTTTACCAGGCAGTTACATGCCCACTCTCTCTCTCTCTGCAATTAATAGTAGGGCACTGGTGGGTGTGTTTTTTATTTATTTATTTGTTTACACTGCCCATGCCACCGCCGAGACCTGTTTTGCTTTCGCCGCCGCATCCTCCACCACGAAGAAAAGCTCCCAAAGCTGTTGACGAAGATCTCTATAGGATCTCGCCGGAGCTCCTCCTCGCCAAGCACCAAAGAGTGAGTTTATTCCTCTACCCTTTTCTTTTCCTCCTCGTTTTGGCAAGCTACATGCCTTAATGTATGTCTCTCTCTCTCTCTCTCTCTCTCGGTTGTTGCCACTGCCCTTGCCACCGCCGAGACCTATTTTGCTTTCGCCGCCGCATCCTCCACCACGAAGAAAAGCTCCCAAAGCTGTTGACGAAGATCTCTATAGGATCTCGCCGGAGCTCCTCCTCGCCAAGCACCAAAGAGTGAGTTTATTCCTCTACCCTTTTCTTTTCCTCCTCGTTTTGGCAAGCTACATGCCTTAATGTATGTCTCTCTCTCTCTCTCTCTCTCTGTCTCTCTCTCTCTCTCTCTCGGTTGTTGCCACTGCCCTTGCCACCGCCGAGACCTATTTTGCTTTCGCCGCCGCATCCTCCACCACGAAGAAAAGCTCCCAAAGCTGTTGACGAAGATCTCTATAGGATCTCGCCGGAGCTCCTCCTCGCCAAGCACCAAAGAGTGAGTTTATTCCTCTACCCTTTTCTTTTCCTCGTTATAGCAAGCTACATGCCTCAATGTATGTCTCTCTCTCTCTCTCTCTCTCTCTTACCGAAAAAAATTAGATTACAAGCATGGGAACACACATTCAAGTCAAAGAGAAACCATTTTGTTCCTCCCTTGTTTCTCTGATCTCTACTAGTATGAAAATGAACCACTTTGATTATTTTGTTTCCTTTCCTTTGTTTTGATTGGTAGATTTCTATAAATCAATTTTATTAATCTTCATTCAGACAAATGATAGTTTTTTTTTTGGTGGTGTGTGTATAATTGAAAGTAGCAAATATATATATGCACAAACATGTATACACACATCAAAGGGTTGGTCTTTTCTGTAACTGATTTCATGCGTTGACTGTATATTGTAGTTGAAGATTTGAGAACCTGATTCTTGGGGGGGAAAAGACAAGGGATTGACCTTCCAATGGGGTCGTTTTAGACATTTTGATTATTTAAGTTGATGTCAATACCTCCAGATGGTGGGAGTTTGGCTGGCTAGATATTGGTTTCTCACTAGGGTAGGGTATCCCAGGAAGCATCATAAAGAACAATTTATGGATATAGGCATTGATCATGGCTTGCAACTTTCAGTTGGTAGCATATTTTTCTTTTTTCCACTTCTCTGTTCTTTTTTTTTTTTTCTTTTTAATTTTTAGCAAAATATCATGTGTTAATGACTCAACTGACCAACCCTTATTGGATCATTGAGTGCATATACTTATTGCACATTGTTTTGTTGTTATGGGGTGATCACGACATGTGTTCAATGTTAAGTACTCTGACTGAAGATTTTTGTTTAATTCTTCAGAAACCACAGTTCAAGATGAACAATAGAGTGTTGGATAGGACATTTTTTTTTTAGCAACACATGTAGGTTTCTAGAGCTGTTATTTTCCTCTGGGGTTTCTCATAGCTGGGTTACAAGTGCATTAAGTATGCAGGGTGTGCAATGAGCATACAAACTATTAGGGGGTCTAATCGTGTTTTTATTTCAATGTCTGTTCATATTGTGTTTTTGTTTTTTTGTTCGCTTGCATGCATTTGTTTTGACCTTTTTGCCACTTTGAGCTTAATTTAAAACATGAGAATATTTAGATTTAAATGAAAAAGGATAGCACTAGGTAAAAACAATGGATTGATTAGTTTGTATCAAACATGTTCTGTGATTAACTCTGGTTCTTGTTGGCATTAATGTTAGTGATGCATGGTATTCCTGCAATCTTTTGACATCTTCTGTTATCCGTGTTGCTTATCCCGTACTGTTTTTTTGGTAGAGAAACAGCTCAGACTGGTGGGACTCCAGGTATCTGAGCAACTTACTGAAAATTGATTTCTTTTGATATATCTGTCCATATTTCCTTTCAATGCAAGCTTCTATTAATATTGCTGCAAATTTCAGGAACACAAAACAATATGGGACTGGAGTTGTTGATGAATGTGTTTGGTGTGGACTCGAAGCTGGTGGCTTAAATCTTCCAAATACACCTGATGGTAAGAACTTCATCGCATTTCTATGTAAAGTTTTTCTGATAAGCTTGCCTTTTAGCCCTTTGCTGAAAGCAAATATGTCTTTGTTTTTCATAGTGCCTCCAGAAGAGCTTTATGCTACTCAACTGTCACAGCTTCAAGAAATGGGTTTCTTTGATACCCAAGAGAATATTAGGGCACTACGTGCCACCTCAAGAAATGTTCATGCTGCTGTGGAGCGACTTTTAGGGAACCCTAGCACGTAGTCAGTACACCTATTTTGAAATTTAATCAAAGATTCAGTTGGTCATGTAAAAGTTATTGATTTGGACCAGTGTCTCATAAAAGACAAGATGTGTTGGCACTTTCAATTCCATTTTGGGCTGTGTGAATAAGAAAAGTACACACTTCCGTGGTAAGAGGTGAACTTGGTGGACAAAGGCTTTTTCTTTACCAGGCAGTTACATGCCCACTCTCTCTCTCTCTCTGCCAGTGCGCTGATGTACATATACATTTAAGTAATTCTTCTGTGAAATATTTTCAGCTTTTATGGATATTGAAGGATGTCGTGATGCAATTCTTGTCCTGTTCCATTTTGATATTTAGTTGAACAGCATTTGTTTTTGGGAAGTTCATGGTTTTTGTTTAGAGTTCAGCGTACTATCAACCGTAGTCCTAACATGCACCAGTGGATTGAATTGTCATTTCATCTCTCGTCTCGCCAGGTGTTAAGATTTATTAAGAGGCAACTATCCTATTTTCATTACAGGTTATACTCTCACCATTAAAAATCAAAAATCAGAAAGAAAAAAAAAAAAAGAGGACAGAAGATTTATGTAAGCTCAAAGCTCAACAAAACAATATACAAGGGGCGGTTAAAGAGGCATGTTTTGTGCCTTATATTGTAGGAATTTCTATGGACGAATAATGCATTTGATGTGAAAGAATTGGAGGATAAAAACACCAAAATCCACATCTCTAAATTTGAAAGTTTGGTTGAAAATGCTTTAACATAATAGTATCATGAAAATTTGTAAGAATTATTTGTTGGACAAATTTTACTTTGTACCCGTTAAGTTTAAACATTTTCTCTTTGGCCATAAAATGTTTTTTTTTTTTTTTTCACCACTTGGTCTCCAATGTTTTTTTTTTTTTTTTCCTAGTTTGCTCTGAAAAACCTACGTCCATCAAAATTGCTACTTTGGTAGCTACATGGTATCACATGACATAATAATACATTATTATAGATCCAACCCAAAACCAACCTACTAATGTTTGGGTCAACTATTGACACAGCATAGCATAATGACAAGGAAAGAAATGGTAGGATCCTGACAACAAATGTGAAGATAACAGAAACTTTGACACCATAAGCATTGACCAAAATATATGCACTGTTAATTTGGGTAGAAAGCAATTACATGTTTTTAACTCATTGTACATACATGTGCTTTCTTCCTTTCCCTCTTTCTCCTTATTTGTTTATTTTCCTTCTTGCCGTCATTTTGTTTTCATTTCTTGCTTGCATAATTTTACATCATAAAACCACCCAACTTTCAAATGCATTTGGTCAATCAGTCAAGCGTGACAAAGTGGAAGTCTCAAGTTCTTGCTCTCTTTCAATGGGCACACTTCTCGATGGTGGACCAAACATAATCAATACCACCTACAATCCACAAACACAAACCTATATATGGTTAGTAGTCCAATATTTTGCATCACAGAATGGTCATTTACATGACAGGGCACATATGTGGTGGAAAATGCCACTTGAAGCCCCATGTGATCATGTACTTTTATTTAAGGAAAATCTTCTATCACATTAGTCAGAGGGATGGATCATTATACCACAAAAATCTCTAAACTGACAAGCAAACAAAACTGAAAGTCAGGGGGATGGATCATTATACCCACAAAAATCTCTGATTTTGCGAAATAAAGGACAATGACTCCGACTAGCTTTATGAGTGTAATTCCACTGCAAAACACAAAACAGCAAAGAAAAATGAAGAAAAAGCAGTAGTCAAATAACAATGTCGTGATAAATCAACTCCAAGCCCATCCACCATACACAAGCACACCACGATAGAAGTTAGAGAAAGGTTCCAAATGTATGCATTTTATCAGTCTAACTTCTGCATTCTGCAAATAACACAACACATATTTATGCATTTTATCAGTCTAACTTCTGCATTGTGTATTTCTGTCAGATATACTTGCATCTGACTTTCATATTATCACTTTTCAACTGAGTATTGCTCAGAAATTCCAACATGCTTACAGAACGTCTCTCACATATCAAGGTAATTAATGGTAATAAACCTGAAGACAGAAGATCCCATCGTACGCAGAGCCTCCTTTGCTCGTTGGCTCCTATCTCCATGGCTTACCTGTGTTAAGAGCAAAAATGTTGTCAACAGAACAATTCACCTTGCTTGGTTATCATTTTTCAAAAACACTTTTCAGAAAATTCTACTTTTTTATTTTTCGTGTTTTTTTGTTTTTACTGAATTTTTTTAATATTTTGAGCAATTTTTTTAATTTTTAGACATACCTAATATAAATATACCTAAAAAGTAAAAAAGAATTGAAAAAAACCTTTTAAAAATTCACTAAATACCAAAAATACATAAAAAAATACAAGAATTCAATACATTTTTTTTTGTATTTTTATGTATTTATTAATTGTTAAAAATATTTTTTCACAAATTTTTTACTTTTTAGATACATCTAAGTAAGGTGCATCTAAAAAAGTAAAAAAAAATGTTTAAAATTTTAAAAATATTCACTAAAAACAAAAAAATACGAAAACCAAAAAACTCAGTTTTTAAAAAACTTAATTCAAAAAACTCAAATTAAATACACTGATTGGTTTTCCAAGCAAGTCCTGTTGAATTGGCTCTACGCCAAACAACAGCTACTGCCTCCTTCAATAAGACAAGAAGTAATCACTGCTACAAATCCTTGAAAGAAAATAAAAAGTACATTTGAATACTGACAGAGAAGGCATGTGATATGTGCACACAGAACTCAACAGCAATCCCTATTGACATTATGAGGCTCACCACAAAAACAGGATACAGTTGGATATCCAGAATTGCCATCACACCCTGCACAGTTTTAATCAAGAAAATTTCAGTTTCACTTTTTTTCTTTGGACAAATTGTGTAGCCAATATATAAGTCATACTAAACGATGAACAATTAATATGAACTAAATACATAACAAGAATGTTATAAATGTTTTAGAAGAAGCACAATATATGTTTTGTCAAGGAAGAAGATTTACCAAAAGATCCACAACAATCATGGCCAGGACAAGAACAATGATAGCTGAACTCCATAAACTGCATTTAATAGGCAAGGAAAAATAATAGAAGTAAAGATTATTAAATTCAACAAAGAAAATATTAACCATCCAAGAGGAATTTTTTTGTCTCTCATGAAGGCAGAAATATGGCTCAAAACTGAACTAAAGGCTAGAAGAGAAAGCAAACCTGGAGGTGATAACTAGGCAAACAAGAAATACAGCACCTGTCAAATCAAGAAATTAGATAGTCAATAATTGCTCCAAATAATGCATCCAGTGGCATGAAACGATACAAATACATAATATATTGTTAAATGATGTTAGTCACAATTAGAAGGTAATAAAATACATGTGTATCTCTAACATCTGGAATTAGATAAATAAAAAGAAAATCCTGGCAAAAAATAGCACCTTCAATCAGAATACTAGTTACACATTCTGAAGTCCTAAGACTTGCGTACAAATGAACAAAATTTTCAATTATGTTTCACAGAAGAAATAAATACTGCCTTTACTAATGGAGGCTTCTAACCACCACAAAGATGACTTGATCATATCATACAGAACAACTTGAAAGCAGCATGAAACAACAATTCAAGCAGAGATAGCAGTAAAATGAAAGAATTTAATAGAATTACTAGCAACCACCAGGACAATAACATCACATAATTGGAAACTCCAATCTTTGTCACATGGAGTGAAAGGGCTCTGCAAATAGACATCACTGTAGTGTAGAGTTTGAATACCAACCAAGTGCTATAGCAATGTTGATCACAGCTGTCTCCCATATATCCAGATATTGTTCAAAGAAAATATAGAACACTGAAAACGGAAAGATCTCGATCTGCATCAGATAAGTACAGTCAATGCATTAAAGACACAACTTCATGACAAGAGCATAGGCTTAGAATAAGATGTAAAAGACCTGAACATACTGTCTGCCTATGTCAGATTCCATATCCCAAGTAAAAAAGAAGAAAAAACTATTGATAAGAGTTCAAGGGAGTAGACTCAAAGCAAAAGACAATTTTTTGGGGGGATAAAGGTTTGGAAGGGGCCTCACTGAGATTCAATAAAGTGAGCATAAGCCACACACCAGAAAAAGAAATATTGTTTAAACACAGAAATTGCCTCATGCATACAGCCTCAGCCACAGCCCCAAGTCATTTGAAAAACCAATTACTATAATCTTGAGGGTTGATTGTTTATTTATTCTTCTCCTTGGCACTACCACTTAAATTGAATGTGTCAATAATACCATAAAGAATATCTAACCAACTAGGCCATGAATAGAAACGCAATAAAGAATTATCTAAATGATCAGGCCATGAATGGGTCAACCAAATGCATGGTGCAAGGGTATACTTCCAAATAACTTCCGTGAATATATTGAATAAAAATGGAAAGAATTCATCACCATTGTGAGCCTTAAAGCATAAAAAGAAAAATAAAGTACTTGCATTGCAGATAACTCCAAACAAGAATGAAAGAACGGAACATTGATTTCAGAAGATAAGAAGAGCTCAAATTATTAGACTGCGAAATTGCCAATGCAACAAGAGATGAACAAGAGAAATTGTTCATAAATTACACATTTTATTAGAAGCTACTAGGATTTCCTACAAACAACTTATTTTGTTACATTTTGGAATATTAGCCCACTTGCATAACTAATTGACCAGGAAAATGCAATTAATGTTGCATCATAAGTGAGCCGGAATTATTCTTCAAAAAATGTCTTACGTGAGTTATGACATTAATTGGTTACTGTCTCAAGAATGGATCTCAATCAAAACCTGACTTGTAAGAGAATAATTGTCTCTATGCAGTGTATAATTGATGAAGCTTTAACCACAACTGAATAAATAACATGAGCAAACACCTAGTCTAGAATCTTGTTTGACATGTATTTCCAGAAACTCAGTTAAAGATTAATCATAGTCAAGGTATTGATTGAAAGTCTCAAATAATTTGCTGAGAATACTTTTGATACTAAGGATAGACTGCACACAAGGGAAGAGAAAAACCAAAGAAATGAGAAGCACTTCCGATATGAAAAACCAATACAGTCCAACAAACAAATTAACATCTTTGGCAAGCGTAGATTTGTCATTTTCTATGTTCTGTAGACATATAATTGCAGATGATGGTCTATATCTCATAGAGGAAAAGAACACCCATAACTTTATACGCTTGTCAAATAAGTCCTTTCACTGAAAGCCAATACCCCAAACCATATTCATATGCAACTATAACAGCTAAAAAATATTCCAGGACAAAACTGTAAGTCAAATTTGTGAACCTTCAAAGAATCAGAAACCCTTGAGCTAAACTCTCGTGCAGCATGCATTGAATTAACAAAATCATCCTGTAGAAAAGGACAAGCAGATCGGGAGGAATATTCTCTGAGTGAAGTTAAGCAAAGTAGCAAAAGTATCAATCCACTAAAAAGATCCTTCTGTACCTGTTTCCTTAGTGGTGTGTGGTAAGTACAAAACTCAGAGGCTCGTATAACACCACTCTCGCAACCTGACAACAGGGTAAAAGCTGTTAATAATTCATTTGATGATACAAGCCAAAGGGAAGTTCTGACATATTTAAGCACTACATCATAGTACATTTCTTTGGATTGATTACATTACGACAAGATATATATGTGTAAGAAGCAGAACAGACCATTCAGATCCACACTGCTTGTGTAAGCCCCATGGCCACCCTTTGCACAGTCAGCAGAGGGCAGTGCATTGAGGAACCATGGCAGCTTCTCCTTGAACTGAGCTGTAGATGGACGACCATTATCCAGATCCGAGTGAAGGAAGCACTGGAACAATTGCACAATGTTAGTTTTAGATAACTCCTTTTGCATTTCATAAGTTGTAAGTTGTAAATTAATTGCAAGATAGCCCACCCATAAGTACATTCAGCCCTACAAAGTACAAAGTACTGACAGAAGTACACCGGGATGTGTTTTCAAATACATAAAGCAATGGGATCTTACAGTTGTACAATCCTTGCAAACGCCATCCAAGTCACAAGAATCTTCATCAGGTGAACAACAAGGAGGCTAAAGAAAGAAAAATGGCCAAGTCAGTTATCGAATGATGCATCATACTTGAGTAACGACAAACAAAGGTCATTTTACATTTCAAAACATTCAAAACCATCAAATCAAGGATTCACAATATCAAAATGAACGCCATACCAGCTAGTTCTTTAAGAAATACAACACATTAACATCTCAAAAATCATTCAAACTTGTAGCTTTTTTTTTCTTTTCTTTTTTTCCCACTTTCAAAAATACAAGATACCATAAACTATTGGACCATACATAAATACTGATGATACTTGAGAGAGACAAAGAGAGAGGGCATATTAATAAAAACTTTAATCAACAACAAAGGACTTCGACTAAGAAAAGAAAAAACAGTGAGCATTTCCAGACATCGATCTAGACAGCAATCATTCCCACTAATTATCCACTTAACTCCTAGTTGGCCAGAATGATATCTGATTGATTGTTCAACTTAAGATTTGGCTTTTTAGACTTTGTTCAGGCGAAGGGGGGAAAGTTGGAGAAGTGTCTCGAGGGTTTGGATTTAGTTCTTAAGGAATAAAATTACGAGTAGATTTTGATATGGTACATTTATTATGATGGTGGCTTGGTTTTGGGAAACTAAAATGACATTGAATGGAACAATTACATAGATGATTTAGATGGCCCATTTCAAACGGATCATGTTGACTGAAATTGGAAACTTCAGGGATGGAATTGACAAAATTGGAACTTGACCAAAGTGACCTGAAACAACAAAAATATCATAATTATGAAAAGAGAGTGTGGCATACATAAAGCCTGGACATATTTATAAAAACTGAAATCAATGTTCTAGATGATGTTGATCTGAGGTGCTATTTTAGGGGTGGTGTGAAGATGACAAAAACTGGAGATTCAAGGTTGAAAGGTTACATCCTAGTGCCAAAAGGCACAGATTAGATTCAAAATGTATTGGATGAATCCCAAAACCAGTAATTCAACATTTGTTAAAGAGTCTTATAGTAAAAACTGAAAAATCCATGAACTTATGCACAAACATAACGTAACATTTGGTGCCCATATAACAAAAACCACAAATGATCACAGAACATACATACTTTTCCGTCTACAAATTCGGCTGGCAAAAAATAAAACGTATTTGGAAAATACCCTTTTTCTAGTGTAACAAATTAAATTAAAAAAATCCATGTAATGCTGACTAAACTCGACAAAGTCTTGTCCCAACTACTTGGGGGTCAGCTACAAGAATCCTGTTTTGCCATTCTGCTTGTTTAAGGGGCATAATTCAGGTAAAACATGAGCATACCCTCAATAGCATTTCAAATATTTATGTTTTTTCCCCTTTTACAGAATGAGATTGTTTTACTATTTCTCAGCCTTGTTAAACATGACCTGAAGCTTCGTTTTGTTTTGCTGCATTTGGTTTTTGTTTCACAGAAAATTTGAGAACATGTGCAAATTTTTTCTCCTGTTTTCATAACATGAATTTCTTTTACTGTTAAATCTTTTTTGCATTTTTCCAGCTGTATGGTTCTTTTTTTTTTATTTTTAGATTCGTCATTCATAGCTATGGATTTATGGATCATATCATATGTGAACATGCATGTCTTTCCTATTAAAAAAAAGAATGTTTTAAATACATAACCCATTATTAATTTCCTTTCAAAATTTAATTTGGTGCTAGATGTTTGTGAAAATCTGAATCAGACATGTCAGCATTCAAAGTAGCAAATCCAGCTGCTGTATTTGAAGATTTTATCCGCTGGCATTCACCTAGAGATTGGGAGAATGATGACTTTTTTGCATGCTATCTTGCGCTCCTCATTTCGCAGTTTTGTGCACACTACTTGCATTTTGCATGCTATCTTGCGCTCCTCATTTCGCAGTTTTGTGCACACTACTTGCATTTTGCATGCTATCTTGCGCTCCTCATTTCGCAGTTTTGTGCACACTACTTGCATTTTGCATGCTATCTTGCGCTCCTCATTTCGCAGTTTTGTGCACACTACTTGCATTTTGCATGCTATCTTGCGCTCCTCATTTCGCAGTTTTGTGCACACTACTTGCATTTTGCATGCTATCTTGCGCTCCTCATTTCGCAGTTTTGTGCACACTACTTGCATTTTGCATGCTATCTTGCGCTCCTCATTTCGCAGTTTTGTGCACACTACTTGCATTTTGCATGCTATCTTGCGCTCCTCATTTCGCAGTTTTGTGCACACTACTTGCATTTTGCATGCTATCTTGCGCTCCTCATTTCGCAGTTTTGTGCACACTACTTGCATTTTGCATGCTATCTTGCGCTCCTCATTTCGCAGTTTTGTGCACACTACTTGCATTTTGCATGCTATCTTGCGCTCCTCATTTCGCAGTTTTGTGCACACTACTTGCATTTTGCATGCTATCTTGCGCTCCTCATTTCGCAGTTTTGTGCACACTACTTGCATTTTGCATGCTATCTTGCGCTCCTCATTTCGCAGTTTTGTGCACACTACTTGCATTTTGCATGCTATCTTGCGCTCCTCATTTCGCAGTTTTGTGCACACTACTTGCATTTTGCATGCTATCTTGCGCTCCTCATTTCGCAGTTTTGTGCACACTACTTGCATTTTGCATGCTATCTTGCGCTCCTCATTTCGCAGTTTTGTGCACACTACTTGCATTTTGCATGCTATCTTGCGCTCCTCATTTCGCAGTTTTGTGCACACTACTTGCATTTTGCATGCTATCTTGCGCTCCTCATTTCGCAGTTTTGTGCACACTACTTGCATTTTGCATGCTATCTTGCGCTCCTCATTTCGCAGTTTTGTGCACACTACTTGCATTTTGCATGCTATCTTGCGCTCCTCATTTCGCAGTTTTGTGCACACTACTTGCATTTTGCATGCTATCTTGCGCTCCTCATTTCGCAGTTTTGTGCACACTACTTGCATTTTGCATGCTATCTTGCGCTCCTCATTTCGCAGTTTTGTGCACACTACTTGCATTTTGCATGCTATCTTGCGCTCCTCATTTCGCAGTTTTGTGCACACTACTTGCATTTTGCATGCTATCTTGCGCTCCTCATTTCGCAGTTTTGTGCACACTACTTGCATTTTGCATGCTATCTTGCGCTCCTCATTTCGCAGTTTTGTGCACACTACTTGCATTTTGCATGCTATCTTGCGCTCCTCATTTCGCAGTTTTGTGCACACTACTTGCATTTTGCATGCTATCTTGCGCTCCTCATTTCGCAGTTTTGTGCACACTACTTGCATTTTGCATGCTATCTTGCGCTCCTCATTTCGCAGTTTTGTGCACACTACTTGCATTTTGCATGCTATCTTGCGCTCCTCATTTCGCAGTTTTGTGCACACTACTTGCATTTTGCATGCTATCTTGCGCTCCTCATTTCGCAGTTTTGTGCACACTACTTGCATTTTGCATGCTATCTTGCGCTCCTCATTTCGCAGTTTTGTGCACACTACTTGCATTTTGCACGCATTTTATCGCGCAATCTTGCGCACCTCATTGCGCAGTTTTGTGCACACTACTTGCATTTTGCATGCATTTTGTCGCGCCATCTGGTGCACCTCATTGCGCAGTTCTGTGCACACTACTACCATTTTGCATGCATTTTATCGCGCCATCTTGCGCAGCTCATTGCGCAGTTTTGTGGACACTACTTGCATTTTGCATGCATTTTGTCGCGCCATCTTGTGCACCTCATTGCGCAGTTCTGTGCACACTACTAGCATTTTGCATGCATTTTATCGCGCCATCTTGCGCAGCCCATTGCGCAGTTTTGTGCACACTAGTCGCACTGTGCATGCATTTTATCGCGCCATCTTGCGCACCTCGTTGCGCAGCTTTGTGCCCACTACTTGCATTCTGCATGCATTTTATCTCGCCATCTTGCGCACCTCATTGCGCAGTTTTGTGCACTCTACTTGCATTTTGCAAGAATTTGATCGCGCCATCTTGCGCAACTCATCGCGCTGTTTTGTGCACTCTACTTGCATTTTGCAGGCACTTTATCGCGGCATCCTGCGCACCTCATTGCGCAGTTTTGTGCACACTACTTGCATTTTGCATTCATTTTATCGCACGATCTTGCGCACCTCATTGCGCAGTTTTGTACACACTACTTGCATTTTGCGTGCATTTTATCACGCCATCTTGCGCACCTCATTGCCCTGTTCTGTGCACACAAGTTGCATTTTGCAGGCATTTTATCGCGCTATCTTGCGCACCTCATTGCGCTGTTTTGTGCACACTACTTGCATTTTGCATTCATTTTATCGCGCGATCTTGCGCACCTCATTGCGCAGTTTTGTGCACACTACTTGCATTTTGCCTGCATTTTATCGCGCCATCTTGCGCACCTCATTGCCCTGTTCTGTGCACACTAGTTGCATTTTGCAGGCATTTTATCGCGCTATCTTGCTCACCTCATTGCGCAGTTTTCTGCACACTACTTGCATTTTACACAAATTTTATCGCGCCATCTTGCGCACCTCATTGCGCAGTTTTGTGCACGCTAGTTGCATTTTGCATGCATTTTATCGCGCTATCTTGCGCACCTA